TACAATCCTTTGAAGTTGTTACAACAAGCAAACGGAAAGGACATCGTTGGGTGGGAGGGGGGAGAGGGGGGAGGGAGGGAGGTTTTGGTGATGGGCCATAATAATCAACCACATTGTATATTGACAAAATAAAAATTAAAAAAAAAAAAAGTACTTCATTTAGTTATTCATTCAGCCAATACTCACTGAGAATCTTGTATGTACTGGATACTATACCAAGCACTGATGTGATGACACAGCAGTGAACAAAATCGACTCCCTGTCCTCATGGAGCTTGCGTTCTAGTTGGGCATGAGGTCAAGAGACAATAAACAAACACAGAGCAATATATAATAGATATGGTGGAGGTAAGTCTTGTGGAGGAAAAAAGTAGAGTGAAGGGTTTAGGGAGGGCCAAGAAGAGGGACAAAGTTTTCTATATAAGTGAACGCAGGAGACCTTACTGATTAAGGTGATTTTGAGTAGAGATCAGATGGAAATGAGGGAGTGGGTCCCATCAGTATTTGGTGAAAGAGTGTTACTAGGAAGAGGGAAGAACAGTCCATGCGAAGGTCCCATAACTGGAAGCATGCTGGAAATATTTAAAGGATAGTAAAGAGATCAGTGTGGCTGGAACAGAATAAGTGAGGGTGAGAATGCCAAGAGACGAGGTCAGAAAAATGGTGGTTTATATAGCAGCTGACTAGAGGACAAGAAAAGAGTATTGATCATGAATTATTCTTGTCAGTTTTCTTGAATTTCATACTGTCAATTTTTTAGTACAGAATGCAACACCATTCTTATATATCAGAGCAGGTTACACATACAACTTCACAAATTAAGGCAATTGACACATTTCATGAAAGAGTAAGATATCTGCTTCTGAATAAAACATACCATGTTACTATATTGAGTTTCTTTATTTTAGTTTTTCCAGAGAAAAAACGCTTTTTAAAATTTTGTGACTATGCTGTGATGTTGAGCTACATCATGTAGCTCCTATTTTAGGAGCGTTAGCAACTAGACAGGATGTGAGTGATTAATATCAAATGTGATTCTTCATCATTTTATGAATTGGCTGATAGCAAAAACCATACCATCTTCTGGTAATCATAATTGTTTTGCTGCAATTAAAATATTACCCCAATTTGACTCAATGAAGTGTTGAATCATGAGTAGTAATTGCTCTTTGATCAGCTCTTATTTGATGTTCTTGGACACTGGGCTGTTAGGAAAGAAGGTTACATTAGCTTAAAAGTTGTTCTTAGCTTTATATACATATATAAAATGTTAATTAAATAATATATATATATAGTAGTGTAAACTTTGCTGTTTTTCATTTTAAAAGTCTGCAGCTTTAGGTTAAGATCTTTTATACATAACAAGATATAGCAAAAAGTTTTTGGCTATTTGAAATTTTAAGATTCAGTGCTTTATATATATATATAACAAGTCATGTGTTAATGACAGAGATACTTTCTGAGAAATGCTTTGTTAGGTCATTTTGTCATCGTGTGAACATCACAGAGTGTACTTACACAATCCTAGATTGTATAGCCTACTACTATATGGTATAGCCTATTGCTCTGGCCACAGTTGTATATGAGGTCTGACTTGACCTAAACGTCGTTATGCCGTGCATGACTGTATATATTATTTTACCTTGAAAAATTTTATATTATTAGTAATGTAATATATATTTTCTACTTTCTTCTTTTATTCTTTAACCTGGCTTCCAAAGTTTTCTTTTTACTGACCAATTTTCTCAATTGAGAGTACAACTTAAATTAGGTACACATGGTTGGCATGGAAAGAAGGAAAATATGTTTTATTTCTGGAAACTCATGATCTGCTCTTTAGTTGGATTAAAGGAATTTTTTTTTTTTTTTTTGTCTTTTTCCGTGTCCGGCAACGGATCGCAACCCTCCGTGTCGCCCCCGTACCGGACCGGGACCGGCAACGGGATCGCAACCCTCGGTGTTGCCCCCGCGCCTCGCTCAGCCAGTGAGCGGGAACCGGTCTGTATGTGGGATCCGAACCCTCGGCGGGAGCGCCGCTGCGCTTCCCAAGCGGCGCACTAGCGCAGTGCGCCACCGGGCCGGCCCGATTAAAGGAATTTTGAATCAAAATTTTCTTAAACCTCTGGTTAAATGTTTCACACAATCAAAACTGCTAGAATAGATCCTTATTATGTAAAGAAATAATGCAGAGAACACTTGGCTTATTACATATTGATGCTGAAAGAGTGAAAAATTTGAAAAAATTGATGTTTGTTTAACTATTTTATTTTGAATAGATATCATAAACTGGGAACAGGATTTAATCCCAATACATTAGATAAACAGAAAGAAAGGCAAAAAGGTTTGCCAAAGCAGGTCTTTGAATCTGATGAAGTTCCAGATGGCAACAACTACCAGGATGAGCAAGTAATACTTTTATTCTCAAATGATTGTAAGAAGTTATTTTAAAATAGTTTATTTTTAATTTATAAATTAATATATTCGTATTTAATGTTTTGCATGACAGGATGATCTTAAAAGACGTTCAATGTCAATAGATGATACTCCAAGAGGTAGCTGGGCCTGCAGTATCTTTGACTTGAAAAATTCACTTCCTGATGCTTTGCTTCCCAATTTACTTGATCGAACTCCTAATGAAGAAATAGATCGTCAGAATGATGACCAAAGGAACTCAAATCGTCACAAGGAACTATTTGCTTTGCATCCATCACCAGATGAGGTATAGATGTTTGCATGTAAAGAAGCAAGTGATAATTAAGATAGATATTTTGGGAGTATGATTTATATACGGTACTGTGATAATGTGGGGAATAAAACTTAACTGATGCGTAGCTATAATTTTTGTAAGTGAAGTATACTTTTTTATACTAGTGAATTATTCTTAATGAATAATCTCTTTGAATTGAGCACACTTATGATCTAATGACTTCTGTTTGTGGATAAATAGGTTATTCTTTCCTGTGTTCAGTTGTGAAGACTGGAAGTATTAATAAAATTATTTCTTAAAAAATAAATTGTAAAGGGTTGAAATATGATAGGCATTCATTTTGGTGTTTCTTGTCAATTTGTAGGAAGAACCAATAGAACGGCTTAGTGTTCCTGATGTACCTAAAGAACATTTTGGTCAAAGACTTCTTGTAAAATGCTTATCACTCAAGTGAGTATTTATTTCTTTTACTGTATAATTTTTGTTTCCTTCGGTAATGTTTTGAGTACTAGTATAACAAAATCTTAGTAGATTTTATACTTGCATTTATGTTCTTTTGAGAAATGTTATTCTATACTTTATTTACACATTATCTATACATGTTTATTTTATACTTGCATTTACATGTTATCTATACATATTTATTTGACTATTTTATTTTGCATTATTATTCAGCATTTAAACTTATGTATGAAGGTAGGTTTTAGAGCATTTTTGGTGCACAGGAGAAGATAAATCTTTTCCATAGCTATACAATTAGTCTTAAAACTTGAAAAAACATTCACTGAAATTACTAGTATTTATCCGACACTGTTCTTAATTAGGAATATAAAGACAATGTATCTTTTTCCTTAAAGAGTTGGTTTTATATTTTGTTACCATGGTAAGCTTTGTTTTTTGAAGATTTTGAAGCTGGAACAAACACAAAAACTGCCAAAGTGTTTTTCTCTCTACACTATTACTCAGCAATAACCAACAGTCCAGAAGATGGACTTCTGTGACCAAATGTATGGGGATTTCTCCCCACTGGCAAGCAAGCCAGCAGTTTTCTAGTAGATGCCAGCTGGGTATCCTCCAAATCAATTCCGACACTATCTGCCTAGAGATAGCATTAGATCCCACAGGTTGAGGGCTCAGTCCCCAAAACTGCCCCCCACTTCAGATGCTAGTCACAAGTCCAGGCCTCTGGAACTTCTGACCAACCAGCTGTAAATCAGGGTTCACATAATCCCCTCCATGGGTTTGATTAGTTTGCTAGAGTGGCTCACAGAACTCAGGGAAATACTTACTTACATTTACTGGTTTATTACAAGGGATATATATATATTTTTTTTCCTTTTTGTCTTTTTTCGTGTCCGGCAACGGATTGCAACCCTCAGTGTCACGCCCGTACCGGACCGGGACCGGCAATTGGATCGCAAACCTCGGTGCTGCGCCCGCACCTCGCTCAGCCAGTGAGCGGGAACCAGTCTGTATGTGGGATCCGAACCCTCGGCGGGAGCGCCGCCGCGCTTCCAAGCGGCGCACTGTAGCAGTGCGCCACCGGGCCGGCCCTACAAGGGATATTTTAAAGGATACAAAGAAACAGCCAGATGAAGACATACATAGGATAATGTCTGGAAGGGTCCCAAGTGCAGGAGCATCTTTTTCTCTGAAGTTGGGGTATACTACCCTTGCAGCGTGCAGATGAGTTCAGCTCTCCAGAAGCTCTCTGAACCCTGAGCTCTTGGGTTTTTGTGGAAGCTTCATTATATAGGCATGATTGACGCGTGGATAACCATTTAGAAATGAGAATGGACAAAAAGGGTATGATCTAACACTAACAGCCTGGGTGGGGAAACCTGACAAGGCCTGTTTGTTCAGATTCTTCCTGGCCTCTCCATGCAGCATTCCTTCCTCCTGGGCATGGGGCAGACCCCTCCTGAAATGGGGTCTTATGACCTGTGATCAGCTAAGGGAGGTCAGAGAATTTCCTGCCTCAGGGAGAAAAAGGAGCAGGTGAAAGGAGGATAGGAGAAGGTCAGAAAGTAGTATGAGCCAGGAACTGTGTATGAACACCAACATATAAATATCATATCATAACAGAAGCATATACTTTTTTTCCTTCTTTAAAAAGGTTAAATGGCTTTTGCTAACATTGAGGTGATGTATCTAACATTTATATGCTGCTTTACAAAGTGCTTTCTCATTTTATTTCATGCTGTCTTCAGAGTAATTCTATAAGGTAGATATTATTTTCTTCATTTTATGAATGAGGAAACCAGGATTTAAAGATTAGCAGAGGTTAACTGTCATGCTCATTATTATGCCAGGTTCATCTGTGTTGTATCAAATGTCAGTAGTTCATTCCTTTATATAAAACAAACTCTATTCTCTTTTCATTATATCATGTTAACATTTGTATTGTGGGAGCCCCAGATCTAAAAGGGCACTTGTGTAGTGTTCACCTATTCCAAAGATCTCACCCCGGCCAATAGGTAGAGACATGAGTTTATTAGACTTATGGGAGGTGCTGATGGCAGCCAGTCAGCTAGAAATCTGCACTGCCATGGGGTATGTACAACAGTTATATAATGAATAGATTAAAGGAGAGGTAAATCATTCACATTCGTATGTGTAGACCCTCACCCAGCTCAAAGAGCACGGGAGATCTGGCTGAGTGGATAAGTTAACTTACTTGCTACCCTTCTGGTGCCAGAACACTTTCATACCAGTGTGTCAATTTACTTAGGGACCCTGCTTCCACCTATCTTCCGTTTTTCTTAAAGGAGACGTGCCTTTCCTTGGGTAAACTACCTTGGCCAGGGGTAGTTTCCCAGGGGGAGGGGGAACTCAGCTATGCACAAGGAGGGGGGATAAGTCTCTGTCCAGCATTTACCTTATAATATTATAAGTTAATTATTAGTTCAGACTTAAGAAAAAAGTTTCTTTTTTCTTTTTTTGGTGGCTGGCCAGTATAGGGATTGAACCCTGGACCTTGGTGTTATCAGCACCATGCTCTAACTAACTAAGCTAACCAGCAAGCCCCCCAAAAAGAAGTTTCAATACACAGAACTTTCTAAAAGAAGCACCTCGTAGGGACAGACCACTTTTGTATATAATTCTAGTGATTTTCTTTCCTTGAAAGTTACTACTTTCTATCTACTTAGATTTACCCAGAAACCTGTTAGAGTAAGTGCATTGAGTCTTTTGACTATCTGGACACCTAACGTTAGCTCTTGTAATCTTTTATTGTTTTTAACAGCTTTATTTCGATATAATTTACATATTAAATTCACCCTTTTAGAGCATACAAGTTAGTGGTATATATTCATAGAGTTGTGCAACAATCACTACTATCTAATTCCAGAACATATTTATCACCCCAGAAAGAAATTCCATACCTGTATTAGTTTACTTGGGCAACTATAACAGTATACCATAGATGGCGTAGCTTAAACAACAGAAATTTATTTGTCACAGTTCTGGAGACTGAAGTCGAAGAACAAGGTGCTGGAGGATTGGTTTCTGGTGAAACCTCTCTTCCTGGCTTGCAGATGGCTGCCTTCTCACCCTGTCCTCATATGACCTTTCCTGTGTGCATGCACAGAGGGAGAGAGGTCTCTGGTTTCTCTTCCTCCTCTTACAAGGACACCATGTGCATGGGATTAGTGCCCCACCCTGAGGACCTCATTTAACCTTAATTACTGCCTTAAAGGCCCTATCTCCAAATATAATCACATTGGGGGTTAGGACTTTAACTTATGAATAATGAGGGGATACAGTTCAGTCTGTTACAATACCATTAGCAGTCACTTCCTGTTCTCCCTTCCTCTCAGCCTCTGGCAACCAATAATTTGCATTCTGTTTCTATGAGCTCACCTATTCTAGATATTTCATATAAATGGAATTTACAATATGTGGCCTTTGTGTCTGACTTCTCATAGCATACTGTTTTCAAGGTTCATCTGTGTTGTCTCGTATATCAGTAGTTCATAGCTGAACAATATTTCACTGTGTGGATACACTCTTTTATTTATCTGTCCGTTAGTTGATGAACATTAGGGTGGTTTTCAGTATTTTTTTTAAATACCAGCTTTATTGAGATATAATTCATATATTATGCAGTTCACCTAGTGTATACCCACTGTACAATTCACTACTGAATTCACTCAGTTCACCCAGTGTACAGTTCAGTGGGTTTTAGTATATTCACAGATCTGTGCAACTATCATCACAATACATTTTAGATCACTTTCAGTACCCCAAAAAGAAATCCCATAGTCATTAGCAGTCACTCCCTGTTTTCTCCACTCCTTCAGCCCTAGGCAACCCCAGCCTACTTTCTGTCTATAGATTTGCTTATTGTGAGCATTTCCTGTCAATGGAGTCATACGATATGTGTCTGGCTTTTTTCACTTGGTATGTTTTCAGGGTTTATCTATGTTGTAGCATGTATCAGTCTTTCATTTTATGGCTGAGTGATATTTCATTGGATGGATACACCACAATTTGTTCATTCATTAATCAGTTAATAAACATTTATGTTGCTACCACTTTTTGGCTATTATGAATTATGTTGCTATGACATCTGTGTACAAGTTTTGTGGGACATGTGTTTTCATTTCTCTTGGATATATACATTCTAGGAGTAGAACTGTGGCCAATAATGGTAACTTCATGTTTAACTTTTGGAGGAACCACCAGACTGTTTTCCAAAGCAGCTGTACCATTTTACATTATCACCAGCAAGTTATGAGGGTTCTAATTTCTCTACATTCTCATCAGCACTTGTTATTTTCTGTCATTTTGATCATAGCCATACTAATGAATATGAAGTGTTATCTCATTATAGTTTTACTTATGATCTGCTTGACTAATAAAAGTTCTAAGTTTGTTATTTCTCCCTTAGAGAAATAAAATATAGAATAATTTTTCACATAGCTCTATTTTCTTTAGGTTTTATTTGATGAGCTCTTGTTAAAAATTCTGAACCAAGAATTATATACATTTGATTTATCTATGATAAGAAATATCCAGGTTTAAGTTGAGGAAGAACTTTGGGTCACACTGTAGGTTCAGAATGGGTTAGAAATGGTAGCCTTATTTTAGCTGATAAATTTTTAAAAGTAATTTCTTTTACATTTTGTTCTGCAAGAATAGACTTCCTTTATTTTGCATGAGAAAATTGTTTCTAATATTAGGAAGGCTGTTAGTAATACAGTGGTTTAGACATTCAGGAAAACCTATCGCAGGCGTGGTCAAGCTGATATATATTTTTTGGAAGCCTAAAAATGCTAAGAGATTATAATTTCATGGTGGTAAGCATTCTGTAGATAATTTTTACATTAGGGCCATTACCCATGCTTGGTTTTAATGGGCTACACAAGGGAAAGAGATTGGCACCCAAGCAGGGTAGAAACAGACTCTTGCATAAGTGCCTAACACAAGATTTCATAGGAGTAATATTC